TGGCAGAGAGAAAAAGTTTGAAGCCCCGGGGCTTCAAACGTATTACCAGTGCTCTTAGAGTGTTAGACAAATGATCTCTCTACAAGATACCGAGTATTACTCAAATTTAATACGAAGTATTGTTTTAAAAAATAATACTCCTTGTGGTCGAAATTAAATTGCATGTTTACTATTCACACGATTAAACTTAATTCACTTTTTTTCTCTATTTTTGGTACCAATGATAAAAAAATTAGTCATGTCACTACTAGTTTCGTAGATCTTTTGATGTAGTATTTTAATATGTAATTTTTATTTTTTAACTCTACACCATTTGTTATATAAAATGATTCAAAACTAATTTCGGTCAAATATCGTAAACCGAAACAGAAAATATAAATTGGGACGGATGGAGTAATAGAATAAAAGAATTTTTTTTAAAACAAATACTTCATCTAGCCTCAAATAAAAAATCATCGTTACTATTAATCTATTATAACCTCTTAATTATTTTTATTTTTTAACACAAAATTGTTTTACTCGTTTTCTATATACTCCGTGTGTTTCTTAAAATATTTCCTTTTTAAATTTTCTCTCTTTTTCCCCCGAAATATTTCCACCTTCTATTAAAAAATTATTTTTACTTTTACTTTTTCTTATCCTATATATCACATCATACTTTTTTACTAATAATTTACTATCAAATTTGTTTTTACGCGTTACATCAAAGGGAAAATTAAAAAGTCAACCCCAAACAACACATCCTTATTTTTGCCCAAAGTCAATATAGGAAGTGTTTATTGAAACGGAGAGAGTATTTTCTAGATTATTTATTTTCAAGATTAGTTTTATAAGTCCTGGGTCTTACAGCTGCCTTGATAATGTAAAAATCACCTAAATAGGACTAAAACATCGGAAAAAGTTCTAAAATAGAATTTTCATGTTTTTATTCTCGAAATAGGACTTCATACTGTGGTAATGTGGCACTGTACATGTGCACATTACTATACTCTTTGGTAATGCACATGATCATGTTTGGTAATATAAATACATTTTAACTCATATTTAGGAAATAAAAACATATATAAAAGTCCTATTTTGGTATATTTTCAATATTTTACTCCTAATTTTGTCTTTTTCTCATAATGTAGGACCCCTTGACTTAGTGACTATGTAATCACTAACTTGAAAGCTTCTGTTATGGGGTTTGGCTTGAACATCAATGTATGCTCTAACGTGCTTCTTGTTGTTCCAGCCAGCCCACCGGCTCATATTTTAGGTGATGATATATTGCCACATGTACACCAGAAAGCTAAATAGAACGCCACACGTGCATTCTTCAGCCAGATTCTTAAAATTTTGGCAAGGAGTATCTTTTTGTTATATTTTTTAAAGATGGGGTATCTTTTTGTTAGAAGTTGAAGATACGATACCTTTTTGTTACAATGTGCAAAGTTTGAGAGCCTTGTATGTAAAAAAAAAACCCGGAATTAAGAGGACCATCTAGAGGTGCGAGAAGGTGGAGGATAGAGGTGTGAAGAGGAGATGGGAAAAAGGGAGATAGCGTTTGATGAAGATCCTTCCCTCTCTGATTCTTCTTCTGCTATTTTTCATTCCATATGAGTATAACAAGTTAAATTGTGACATATATCAACATCTCTACACTTTAGTCCAAAAGAATAGTGAGGAGGTAAATCATGCATAATGAGTTATTACATTGGATACACTTTTCACATTGTTGATTGTGGGATCGAATTTGAGATTCTGGACTTTACACTCCTTCCAAAACCATCTAAACTACCTGTGCACGTAAAGAAAAAATTTATGAACTTAACCTGCTATTTTACGGGCAGACGTTTACGAGCAGGGTGGATACCCAAACCCGTGATCGAGTCTAATTGTGAAACACCCATGTTTAGAAAGGATTTCCTTTGGATACTATAGAATTTGGTGAACTGAATGACTTGCTTGTTTCATTGATACCGAAGGATATAAATACAAGTTACAAGCCCAACACGATAGGCCCATAATATTACAAAATAATATACATAAAATAATATATACATAATATACGCTAACACTCCCCCTCAAGTTGGAGCATAGAGATCAAAAATGCCCAACTTGGACAAAAGAGAACGGAAAAGAGGACCGGGGAGCGCCTTCGTGAAGATGTCTGCTGTCTGCAACCGTGTAGGAACATAGGCTGTGACAATATGAGCGCGCTGGAGGCATTCCCGAACTATATGACAGTCAATATCAATATGTTTTGAGCGCTCATGAAATACCGAATTAGTCGCAATGAAGAGAGCGGACTTATTATCACAATACAAACGCGGAGTAGCAACACAAGGGACCTGTAAAGCGGCCAAAAGACCACGGAGCCACCTGATTTCAGCGCAGGCGTTAGCCATGGCGCGGTACTCCGCCTCTGCAGACGAACGGGACACAGTAGTTTGCTTCTTAGTGCGCCAAGAGATAGGGGACCCACCAAGAAGGACAAAATAACCGGTGACAGAACGGCGAGTGAGCGGACAACTAGCCCAATCTGAGTCTGAATAGGCCGTCAAAGTCAGGTCACTATCTCGACGAAGGAGGATACCCTGTCCTGGATGCCCTTTAAGATACCGAAGAACACGAAGAGCCGCGGTCCAATGGTCTAGACGTGGAGCCGGCATAAACTGAGACAAGGCATGAACAGCATAACAGATATCCGGCCGAGTGATAGTCAAATACAACAAACGGCCAACAAGACGACGATACTTGGCAGCATCCCGAAGCTCAGCACTAGTAGAACGGGCTAGATTATGGTTGCTGGGCAGTGGGGTGTCGGCAGGCTTGCATCCGGAGAGATTGTGCTCCTGAAGAATGTCCAAGGTGTATTTTCGCTGATTAAGCACCATACTAGTAGAAGATCGAGCACACTCTATACCCAGAAAATAAGAGACCGGTCCAAGATCTTTGAGCTGAAAACAAGCATCCAAGTACTTCTTAAACGAAGTGCACAAAGAGGGATTATTGCCTGCAACAAGAATGTCATCCACATAAACAAGAACAACAAGTATATCAGGACCACGATAGAGAACAAAGAGAGTATGATCTGCATGAGCCTGGCGAAAACCATACTGACGCAAAGCTAGACGAAGCTTGGCAAACCAATTTCGGGGAGACTGACGGAGCCCGTATAAAGACTTTCGCAAACGACATACTTTCCCAGGGAACAAATGAGAGTAGCCAGGTGGGAGCCTCATATAAATCTCATCCTTAAGATCCCCGTGTAAAAAGGCATTGTTGACATCCAACTGGTCAACCTGCCATCCGCGTGCAACTGC